CTACTAACCATCACCCAAGAATAAGATATGGATCATACTTTCCGAAAACAAACTGCAGATTCTCCAAGGTGGCATAAAGTAGTAAAGTTGAAGGGGTGGTTCAGTTATACTGACACTATTAGAAAAGAAACTCTGGATACATGTTTTAAGAGGAAATTTCTGCCTTTTGTTGCTTATAACTGTCTCTGAGAATGAAAGAAGGCACAAAGAGATCAACTATCCTTGATCTGATTATGATCAGTACAGGTGGAATGGAAATTGTGGGAAAAGTGATTGCATAGTGCTGGATTTCTTCATATTAAGACACGGACAGGAAATCTCTGATTGGTTATGTCAGCTTTCCAATCATCTAGGACACTATAAGGAGGATCCAGAGATGGTATTCAGGCAGTTCTGACAGGTTCTGGAGAACCGGTAGAGGACATTTTGAGTAGTTTGGAGAACCAGCAAATACCACCTCCGACTGGCCCCACCCCCATCTATTCTCTGCCTCCCGAGTCCCAGCTGATTGGCTGGGTCTTCTTTTGTTGCCCTGCACAGAACGGAGCTGGAAAGCAGGTTAGTGAGTAGAGAGGGAATGGGGATTTTACAGTATCCTTCCCTTGGAGTGGGGTGGAAATGGATATTTTACAGTGTCTTTCCCTTGCCACACCCACCAAGCCACGTCCCACCCACCAAGCCATACCAAGCCCATCAAGCCACACCCACAGAACCAATAGTAAAAAAATTTGAATACCACCACTGGAGGTATCTAGTGATGTCTTAAAGGCACATGAGTGTTTTTCACCCACTATTTGGGAAGGCTTTGGGAAGGAAATGGAAGCAGAATATCTCTGAACACTCCTTAACATGCACACATCCAAACCCATCACTTCCATCCAGATTTCAGCCACTCAAACTAGAGGTGAAAACAGAGTTTAACCCATTCAGAACAGTGAGAAATAGGATGGCAAGAGACGTTAATGGGAAAAGAAGCTTTTGATGGTTAGAAGGTTCTAAAAAAAGGAAACATGGAAGGACAATATACAACCATTCCAACAAGGGGAAAATGGAAGGCTGCCAAAAAATTCCAACATGGCTATACAAAAAGTTTAGCAAAAATCATGGAAAACATAATATACAGAATATCTGAAAGGGTACATATAGATAGCCCAGAACTATAAAGATGGCATCAGGGAAGGAAGAAAAATCTCATATCAAGTTACTAAAGTCAACATAGCAGAGAATGGAAACAAAGAAAAAGTAGAACTCCTGTTTTGTCTCAGTCTTCTCTGGAGAAAGAAATGCCTTCCACGGAGCATGTGTTGAAGGCCTGGCGGGAACAGCAGGATTCCCATTCAACACTGACAGAAATGAAGTCAGGGAACATTTACTGACCTTGAATGAGTTCAGATCTCCAGGCCAAAGGAATTCTGCCTTAGAATCTGAAGAGAAATCTGCTGATCACTTGGCCAACCTCTGTCTATGATCTCTGAGAAATTCTGAAGAGTGGGTGAAATATCAGATAACTTGATATTAAATGTAAATGTTGTCCCAATCATCAAAACAGGGAGAAAGAAAGATCCAAGGAACTACTGGTCACATTTGCCAAACAGAGAACTATATTATATTTTAATTGGGTAATTTACGTAGCAGATTGTGGTGATGGGGTAGACATAACAACTTCAACAATACTATCTGACAAAGTATCCTGTGTCATTTTGATTAGCAAACTAGTTAAGCTGGGGCTAGATGATAGGTCTACAATCGGCCTAAAGACTGTTAACTCAATAATAATTCCTAATTAAAGTGTAGTTAGGTATTGAAGGGGTACCGTGGATGTTGCTTCTGAATCTTACACAGTTTAATTAATAACTTAGATAAGGGACAATGCTTATCAAAAATGCTGGCGACAAACTCGTCTGGACAGCTCATATCCCAGAAGACAGGCAAAATTCAGAAATGATCTTCATATGTTAGAGAACGGAATCAATGTAGCAGATCAGAGTTTAATATAAACAAATGCAAAATTCTTTATTTAAGAAAAAGAAGTATGTACAGCCATATGACAGGGACATCAGACTTGTTAATAGTACATACTTAGGAATTGTAGTTGATGACAAAATGAAAGAGAAGTGTGATATGGTTGTTAAAAAGGCATTTTTAGTGTTAAGTTGCTCTCAAAGAAGTTTCTAAATCACAATACATAATAGTTCTACTATTAAATTACAGCTATCTTCCTAGAATCTAGAGGATATGGGGATCCCTTGCCTGATTCTCTCTGCACCAAATAATATGAATGATCTTCATATCCTGAACAGAGGAATATGTGGCTCAGAGTGTCAGGAAGTACAGGTAGTCATCGACGTACAACCACAATTAAGCCCAAAATTTCCACTGTTAAGTATGACCGTTGTTAAGTGAGTTTTGCCCCATTTTACCACCTTTCTTGACCTGGTCATTAAGTGAATCATTAGTCAACAATCAGTTGTTAAATTTAGTACCACGTTGAATCTGGCTTCCCCGTTGACTTTAATTGTCAGAAAGTCGCAAAAGGTGCTCACATCATCCCAGGATACCCCAGCTGTCATCAATATGTGTTAGTTGCCAAGCACATGAATTTTTTGATCATGTGACCACGAGGATGCTGAGAAGTTTGTAAGTGTGAAAAACGATCTTAAAGCTCCTGTTTTTCAGTGCCATCGTAACTTCAAACAGTCACGAAACGAGCTGTGGTAAATTGAGGACTACGTGTACCCTCTTCCCCTTAAACCCATTCAAAATCATGTCTGGTTTCTTGTTACCCACCTTGAGGAAGTAGAATAGAAAGGCAGTTTGCCTTGCTCTCCTGATCCAGTCTGAAAATCCATGCCAAATCCAAAATTCACTTGAAGCCCCGAAGTAATGGGTCCTGCTTAAGAGAGGCATGTCTGCTCTTGGAAGTGATCAGCTCCTAGCCCTCAAGCAAGGGACTTGCCCTTCGAAGAAATGATTAAGAGAGATTGTGTGTGTGTGTGTGTGTGTGTTTTAAAACAAGGAAGCTCTGAACAGCCTAGCTTTGCTAGCTGTAATGAAAGCATTCCCCGTGGCATCCTCGAGACCTTTTCCAAATGTGACACTGATTGCTTCATTCATAAACTTATCCTCTTTGCCCCATTAAAAATAAATAAAATACCTCCAATCCGTTGGCTTTTGAGCAACATAAACAACTCCTGCCCATCCCTATTGTAAAAATGAGTCACAAAGATGAAAGAAAAGAAGTTAACTGCTAATTTGTACGCAGGATGAGACAAAAACCCCCAGGACTCAAAACCAACCACGCATCCCATTTCTCCATTTGATCCCCCCACCTTTCTCCCTAAATTGGAAAAGGGTGTTGTTGTCCACCCAAGATGCTCTATTAATTATTTGTTAAGTTATGGCCCTGTTGTTCTCATCAGGGCTTCACTGTGAAGAAACATCACATCCTTTGACTCTTGGCAACTTTGACACATACATACCTATTGGAGGGCTAACATATGCTAGTCTAAAACACACCCGACCATTGAGGCTTCTTTATCCTTTTAAATCTCTCCTCATTTCTCTTATCACATTTCTGAGACTTGACAACAAGTATCAATCTCTTATTTCCTTTAGTAATCCATTCTACATTACCTTATTTTAAAATAGGTTGCAAGGAAAGCGTTATTGTCTGAGATTGTGGCTCAAGGTTATCTAATAAGATTCGTGCTATAAATGGAATTCAGACCAGCTCTTCCTTTTCCAAATACAAGTACTCGAACTATGGGCCAAAACTCCACCATAGTAAGGGAATTGGGTTCTGCAGTACTTAATTAGTAAGGGGCGTGCATAAGTGCACCATCGTGCCTCCCGTCCCTGTCCTATTGTCCCCATTTATTCGTACCTACTTCCTGTATTCTTACCCATGTTTATACTTACAACTATTATCTTGTAAGTGATTGACAAATCAAATAAATAAATAAATAAATACTTTGATAGAAAACATATAACATGAGTAGTTGTGTAACATGAATGCCAGCTGAACATCAAGGCCTACAGAAAGATCACGCAAACCACAAATTTGGTATTTTTTTGTGTTACCTTGTCTTATGATAGAACAGGGTAAGCCCAGATAAGCCATGGCAAACAGTTCAATGCAGGATACGTACAGTGCTCAACAAAGTTAAAATAGTAAGTTTTCCATTAGTGACTATGCTGTAGAAAAGATAACGTGGTTTTAGGACAGGCCCTCTCAAATGAATGAGGGCAGAGATAAAAAGAATATTTTAAATTTGCCCATTAAAGGATTCTCCCCACACACACCCAGCTACAGATAATGATCATCTTTCTCCAAATTTAAGAAGTGAATTGAGCTGCTCCATTCATGGATCAAGCAGGAATCAATCTTTCTCCTGTCCCCGACTTTGACGATAGGAGAAATATGGCTAGCAAGTTAGAACAAAACCACCTGGGAGACTGACTTCTTCGTTTCCTCCAACCCGATTCCTAGAAGATGTGAAGCAAATTCCTAACCCTAGATATTCAGAGATGAACTCCAAAATCGACACTGACAAATGGAGGCTCTGCCCAGAACACTTTCATGTCAAAGCAAATGCCTCTTGGCAAGAATTTCAAGATTACCCACTTGGGGTGAGAATACGTCTGTAGAAGGAGATGACAGCCTGGATTATAATGTTTGGGGTGGGGGGCTGAAATAATCCTGATGACTTGTAAAAAAAGACAAATCTGCTTGGACACTACATTCCTGGGAGAGCTGTAATTACAGAAACGGCTCCCAAGGGACATAGCCTCCAGGCCCTTGGAGGGGGGCTTACAAGAGTTCTGCATGTGTCATTAATTTCCCTTTTGTATGGGTGCATTTGCTGGCCCAGGGGCAGAAGAATTTGAAGAAGGACACTGCCAAGCCTGCCTATGGGGCTAAGGTCTTCCCTCCCAACCAAAGAAACAGAATCTGGCAAGGAAATCCAAAGTAAAAAGAGGAAGGAGGGTTTCTGTCTTACCTTTGGCTCCAGAGGCTGAGGAGAAACAGGGGGCAGAGCCAAAGAAGCAGCCAGGCTTGTCCCATCCTGGATGTTGGAAGTTCTGTCTCCACCAGCTGGTTCCTTTCCACCAAGCCCAAATAAGATGGGGCAGTAAGGTCCTCTCTCCTTTCCCTTCTACGGTTTGACTCTTGCCTTGTCACTTCTGGCTACTTTTTTTCTTTTTCTTTTAGGACTTCATCAATTGCCTCCCAGTGGAGGTTTTTTTTTTTTTTTTTTTTTTCAGCTTTGGTTTTTTCTGTTTATGTCAATTGGGGGAGGAGGGCTGTTTTAATCTGACAACTGTTCCCAAAGACCTGCCACCCTAACCTGCGGTGAGCACCTCGGGCCTGCCTCCTCTCCTCTCCACCCGTCTCTTCCTCCTTCACCAGGGTGGCTGGTTTGCGAAGAGACGTCGGTCGTTCCCCCTTGCAGAAGAGAGCAACAGGCTCCACGGAACTTCTCGGCAGTCCATGCGGACAGGTCCTTCTCCTCCGCCCCCATCTGAGTGTGCTGGGCGCAGAAAGGGAAGAAAAGGAGGCTGGCAATGATTTCTCTCCCCCCCCCCTCCCGCCCTAGCTATCTAAGTACACACCCTCTTTTCTTTTTTGCAACTGGGAACCCCCACCCGACGGTGGAAATTACAGCAGGGCTGCAGCGGCTCTTCCTGGCCCGAGCGATCTTTCTCCGGAGCGGGGGGGGCGGAGGTTTGCAAAGGTGGGGAGGGTCAGGAGGCACATGCGGCCTTGGCAGCCCGACCCACGGGGCAACCTCGGCTTCAGGCACAGCCCCGACGCCCGCCCCACCCGCGCGGAGGTCCTGCCGATTGAGATGCCGGAAAGAAAGTGAACTGAAGAAAACTGGCGGCGGCGGTTTCTCGGACGGGACGGCAGCAAAGCCTTCGCTCTTCCCCGCGTAGCGTTTTTATTTTTTCCCCCCAACTAACCGAGCCAGCGCCCCAAGCCCGAGTCCCGACACGCCCGTGCAGGAGCCCTCGGGCAGGCAGGCAGGCAGGCGGACGGGCAGGCAAAGGACGGGTCGGGAAGCGTGTGCCAACCGCGCTCCTCAAGGCAGGCACATTTTCAAAGGCGTTGCGCGCCACAGGAGCACGCGCGGCCGTCGCCTCACAGGGACTCCCAGCTCTCTTCAGCCCTCTGCAAGCGGCTGCCAGGGCTAGGCGCGCTGCTCCGTTTGGCGCAGCTTGGAGAGCGAGCGACGCTCGGCTCAGGCGCTCGCCCGTTTAAGAAAAGCGCTCGGCCTGGCTTGTCACTTGGCGCTTTCTTAAGCCTGTTTGGAAAGACTCGCTCGCTCGTGGGGCCTTTTTATGGGAAGCATGCAAGCCACGTAGCCAAAGGGCTCGCCAAGATGCACGCTGCGGATGCCCCCCTAGGAAAGACACCCACGGCACTTTTCTCTCTCTCTCTCTCTGCTTGCTACTCTATATTCTCGTGCTGAGGACAAAACAAGGTGTGGGCTTCTATTAGAATAGAATAGAATAGAATAGAATAGAATAGAATAGAATAGAATAGAATAGAATAGAATAGAATAGAATAATTCTTTATTGGCCAAGTGTGATTGGACACACAAGGAATTTGTCACTGGTGCATAACCTCTTAGTGTACATAAGAAAAAATAAAATACATTCATCAAGAATCATAAGATACAACATTTAGTGATAGTCATAGGTTACTAATAAACAACCAAATCATACTAGGAAATAAATAAAACAATATAAATTCAAAAGATACAAGCAACACTGATATAGCCATAAGTGGGAAGAGATAGGTACTACCATAGAAAGAATGAAAAGAATAGTAATACAGTCTTACAGTCTTACTAAGTAGTTGGACATTGTTGAGGGAATTATTTGTTTAGCAGAGTGATGGCGTTCAGGAAAAAACTGTCCTTGTGTCTAGTTGTTCTGGTGTGCAGTGCTTTATAGCGTCGTTTTGAGGGAAGGAGTTGAAACAATTTATGTCCGGGATGTGCGGGGTCTGTAGATATTTTCACAGCCCTCTTTTTGACTCGTGCAGTATACAGGTCCTAGATTGAAGGCAGGTTGGTAGCAAACACCCGAAGGTTTATAATATAGGTATCCCTCGACTTACAACTGTTCGTTTAGTGACCATTCAAAGTTAACAGCAGCACTGGAAAGAGGGACCAATGTCCCCTTTTTCACCCTGATGACCCTTGCAGCGTCCTTATGGTCACGGGATTGACATTTGGATGCTTGACAACTGACTCACATTTTATGAGGGTTGCAGTGTCCTGGAGTGGACGAGGGGATCTCCCTTTGCGACCTTCTGATGAGCAAAGTCAACGGGGAAGCCAGATTCACTTAAACAACCCCTGTTACTCATGGAAGAACTGCAAAATCACTCGACACACTTCTCACTTAACATAAACATTGGGCTCAATTGGGGTCATAAGTTGAGGACAACCTAACTTGCCAAACAGTTCAGAAATCAATTGTGGCTTTTTTTTTTTTTTAAAAAAAAGTACAATTAATTACACAGAGTCAGCAGCACCTTTCCGTATTTAAACAGCCAGGTGCATATGTATACCCAAGCAGGTACACAATTCGGTACACAATTCAATCGTCCTTCTACAGCAGAGATGGTTCTTATTGGGTTCTTATTGGGTTCCCTTGGACCTAGAGGATCATAGAATTGGAAAAATATGTGTAAGCCACAGAGGTGGTATTCGGCAGGTTCTGACCAGTTCTGGAGAATCGGTAGCAGAAATTTTGAGTAGTTCGGAGAACTGGCAAATTCCACCTCTGACTGGCCCCTCCCCCATCTATTCTCTGCCTCCCGAGTCCCAGCTGATTGGCTGGGTCTTCTTTTGTTGCCCTGAACAAGAGAACAGAGCTGGAAAGCAGGTTAGCGGGGTGGGGAGGGAATGGGGATTTTGCAGTAACCTTCCCCCAGGAGTGGGGTGGGAATGGAGATTTTACAATATCCTTCCTCTGCCACACCCACCAAGCCACGTCCACCAAGCCACACCATGCCCACAGAACCAGTAGTAAAAAAAATTTGAATCCCACCACTGGTAAGCCATCAGCCATCCAATCCCGTCTTCAGCAACCGAAGCAGGAGGTAGAAGGGACCTAGTCCAACTCCTGGTCAAAGAGGAAGCCCTATACCAGGGGTTTTCAAACGTGACCGGCTTTAAGACTTGTGGACTTCAACTCCCAGAATTCATCCTCTAGTCATGTTAGCTCAGGAATTCTGGGAGTTGAAGTCCACAAGTCTTAAACCTGCCAAGTTTGAAGACCCCTTCCCTATACCATTTCAGACAATAACATAGATTAACAGAGTTGGAAGGGACCTTGTAGGTCATCTAGTCTAACTCCCTGCACAAACAGGAGACATACCATTTCAGACAAGTGGGTGTTCAGTCTCTTGAAAATCCTCCAGTGAAGAGGCACCCACAACAAGACTTGCCCATTTATTCTTTGCTGAAGGATAGAGGATGGCTTTCTGAGGGAGAGTGTTGCAAAAGATTATTAGATTGATGTTTTAATAGGAGGCCTTTACTCTTGGGTATCTCAGGGTGGTACCCAGCATATCAGTGCACCTGACACTTACTGATTTTTTAAAATAATTTTAATAAAGGGAAAGAGAGAGTTGCACCAGGTTGCTGGATGCTATTTATTAGGTTTATATTCTGCCATGATTAGGTGTGACTCTCTGTGGTTTACAAGATTTTTTAAAAAATGACTAAACTTCCATCATAAACTAATTAAAAACACCTAATTGGAAAGCCCTGAAATAATTGAACACAATGGATCGAAATATATGCTATCATGTTGAATCTATAGCTATATTAGTGGCTAATTCTGGACCGTAAATGCTCTATGAAAGGGCTCAGTTTTTAATATTTTCCTAAATTTGATCAAGGAGGAATCAGTCTAATTTCTACTGGAAGGCTGTTCCAAAGAGCCAGCTCTGTTGCTGAAAAGTTTCCCTGCTTTCCTCCTGTTTATTTCCCTAGAAGAGAGAAATGATCAATTATTTCTCTTGAGACTGACTTTTTTCCAAATCCACCTAGAGATAGCTAAGGGCAAAGCAATAAAGGGCTCTATAGGTTAAACCAACATTTTGGGTTCAAATATCCAGAAGCTTATTAGAAGCCAGTGCTGGGCCTGAAGAACAGGTGTCATTTGCTCCCAGCTACAATAGTAATAGCACTTAGATTGATATACCACATCACAGTAATTTACAGCTCTCTCTCTCTCTAAGCAGTTTACAGAGTCATCATATTGCCCCCGCCCCCCAACAATCTGGATCCTCATTTTACAGACTTCTTTAAGCAGTTACCAGAAAGAACCTATTGCCCCCAACAATCTGGGTTGTCATTTTACCAACCTCAGAAGGATGGAAGGCTGAGTCAACCTTGAGCTGGTCAGGATGCAGATACCAGCAGGGGTGGGCTTCAAATTTTTTAGCAAGGGGCTCTCTGCCCTAATGACTGGCTGGATGGGCATGGATGGGTGGTCATGTGACTGGGTGGGTGTGGCCAATTCGACATCGCTTCTTTGCCCTAATTACACACACACACACACACACACACACACACACACACAAAGTTGTTTATTATTTCATGCATTTAATACTTCAATAGAAGCCTGGGTGAAACCAGGTTTAAGAGCAGTGACTATGAGAGGGATCTTGGAGTCTTAGTGGAGTTTCTGGTGAGTTACGTGATTCTTATTATTCGGGAATTAATCCCTTCAGAGGCTAGTGGCTATGTTATCTGATTTTCTCAATGGCTCTCCCTTGCAAGCGCTGAGTGGATTGTTTAGCTTGCAACACTTTTACAAGGGGTGAAATGCTCTTGGCTGAACACCTAGAAGTTCAATTAAGCCTATTAAGAGCTTTCCCTTGCTGCTTGTCTTTCTGAGGTTATTGGGGGCTCTCCGAGCCCCACAGAACCTTAGCTAGGGGCTCTCCCGAGCCCCTACAAGCCCCCAGCAGCCCACCCCTGGACCACTTAGCATATGGGCTGTTCTGTATTAGCATACTCCAAACCCTGAAACCTGATTGGTCCACACGGACCACAACCTGATTGGACAACTAAACGGCCGTGATTGGTGCGCTTAGAATCAACCGCGATTGGCCAAGCCGATCGCGGGAGATTCAAAGCCCTGTCATTGGCCGCCACGCCGCGGACAGCTCCTATATGAAGGGCTGCCGTGAAGCGCAGGTCTTGTACAGCAGGGGTCCCCAACCACCGGTCCGCGGACCGGTACCGGTCCGTGGAACAAGTCCTACCGGTCCGCTGGCTTGCTGGGCGCCGCCATCTTTTTTTGATGAAAAAGTGCTTCCGGTGAGCTTTTCCGGGTAGAAAGCTCACCAGAAGCACTTTTTCATCAAAAAAAGATGGCGCCAGCGCTTCCGGTGAGCTTTTCCGGGTAGAAAGCTCACCGGAAGCACTTTTTCATCAAAAAATGATGGCGGCGCCCAGCTAATGCCGGTACCGGGCCGCGCCATAAAAAAGG